CCCCCGCCCCAAGCGGTGCCTCCCAGGAAAGGCCTGGGCAGGTACTCCCATCAGGACGAGGGCCCTTGGACCCTGTCTCACGGGCTGCTGTGCTTCGAATCAAGGAAAGCCGGGACGGTCCAGGCTGTGTCCCTGAGCACCGCCATCCCCCCGCCCCCGCCCCTACCACCCGTCCCGCTGTCCCGAGACAGGCGCCTACCTCATCCAGGGGCGGGCAGAGGGCAAAGAGCTGGGCGGGCCGGCCGCTCCTGCGGGCCTCCTCGTTGCGCTGCTCCACGTCCTGGGCGCTGACCTGCTGCAGCAGGCCCTCCAGGCGCGGGTCGGGCTGCAGGCTGCGCAGGGTGAAGTCGCAGGCCGTGAGCGGGCCCTTCCCGGAACCGCCACACAGAGCCCGCAGGCTGCAGGGGGCCGTCTGTGAGGGGACACGCGGTCGTGAGAGGGAGGCCAGGGCCACTCCCGCGCCAGTCACGAGGCTCTATGGCCCCGGGGAGTGGGAGAAGGGCTCAGCCCCACAGGAAACCTCTCCTTCCCGCTCCTTGGTGGCCCAGAGCTAACCCACAAGGAGAAGCTTGGAAACGGTTCCCAGGGGGCTGGAGTTTGCTTTTTTCTAGGTGTTGGAATCAAGTCTCTGTGACCTCGCTCACATCTCAGGCAGGGCCAGGACAGGGAGGGGACAGGGGCCAACACTGACCATGCTCACATCTCAGGCAGGGACAGGACAGGGAGGGGACAGGGGTCAATACTGACCACGCTCACATCTCAGGCAGGGACAGGACAGGGAGGGGACAGGGGTCAATACTGACCACGCTCACATCTCAGGAGGGGACAGGGGTCAATACTGACCACGCTCACATCTCAGGCAAGGACAGGACAGGGAGGGGACAGGGGCCAACACTGACCACTCTCTCACATCTCAGGCAGGGGCAGGACAGGGGTCAACACTGACCACGCTCACATCTCAGGCAGGGGCAGGACAGGGGTCAACACTGACCACTCTCACATCTCAGGCAGGGGCAGGACAGGGGTCAACACTGACCACGCTCACATCTCAGGCAGGGACAGGACAGGGAGGGGACAAAGAACAATGCTGATCATGCTTCTTTCTGTCTCAGGCAGGGACAGGACAGGGAGGGGACAGGGGTCAACACTGACCACTCTCACATCTCAGGCAGGGACAGGACAGGGAGGGGACTGGGGACAATGCTGACTAAACTCACATCTCTGGCTGGGACAGGACAGGATGGGGTGGGTGTGTGTGTGTGCCATGCTGACCATGCTCAGGTCTCACACGGGGCCAGGGGGCAACAGGGACACAGGAGACCTCACGCTAGTCCCAAAGTCAGAACTTGGTGTTCTAAACCGTGCGATACCAGGGTAAGTACAAAAACCTCGCCCCGTGGCCCCAGAAGCCCTGTGGTGTCATCTGATCTAGATAAAACAAGGAGCCCTGGTGTACTGGTGACACGATGGGCCGCAGGTCAAAACCCCCAGCCGCCTCACAGGAGAAAGAGGAGGCTCCCTGCCCCCGTGAGGAGTGGCAGTCCCAGCATCCCCCAGGGCAGCTCTACCTCATCCCCCAGGGTCACCGTGAGTTGGAGTCGACTCTGGAATGAGTCTGAGTCCAGTGGAGCCTGGTGGCCCAGCAGCTGAGCGCTCGGCCGCTCTCGCCTACCCCTCCCAGAGCCCCGCAGGAGAACTCCTGGCCGTCTGTTCGTGGAGCTGCTGCAGCCGAGGAAACCCTGCGGGGCAGCCCTGCGCCAGCACTGAGAACACCAGCCGGGCAGCAATGCAGTCTAGGGGCCACTCGGGCCCTGGGGGCAGAAACAAAAAGGCTGGTCTGCTTCCCCCGGCATCGCAGCCATTGACGCCGTGGGCAGCTCTGCCCTGTCCTGCAGGGCCACTCTGCGTCCACCCAGACTCAGAGGTAGCGCTTGTGGTCATGGCTGGTGTGAGGCCTCCTGCAGTGGCCCCTTCCCCGAGAGGACGACCACAAAGGCCCGTGCAGGGTTGCCCCAGCGTGGGGAGCGATTGGGAAGAGACTTGGGGGCGGGCGTCTTGACAAAGACCCCATTGCAGTCTTGTGGGGGGCCTCGGAAACCTGCCAGTAGTTCCACTCCGGCTTCCAGGCTCACTAGGGGTCAAGTCCACTCAGTGGCTGCGAGTTTCTGGTTTTTGGTGGCACAACGGTTAAGTGCTGGGCTGCTGACCACTAACTGGGCAGTGGCCCCAACAGCACCTGGAGTCCCTGCGACATCTCACAGTGATGGCCCCAGGTACCCTGGCCCCCAGTGAGAGCCCCCACTCACTGATCTCGAGGGGAGAGGGGGAGTTGTATAGGCCCATGGCAAAATCCAGTGTCCTTTCATTCCCTTGTCCCAGGACTTTTCCACTGCCCCTGGATCCTCATTCTCTGTGGGGGTTTCACTGAACCCCCATTTCTGTGCCTAGGAACAAGTTTGTGGAGTCAGCGCTCCTGACTTGACTGGCACCCCTGGCCTCTCCTGACATTCTGTGAGACCCGCCTTTATTCCTGCACAGACAGGAGGGCCATGTGCCCAGCTGTCCCCGTGCCCAGGGGAGGAGACACCAGGGGAAGGGTCACCCACCTCAGTGCTGGGTTCCGCATTCTCTGAGGCCTCAGATTCAAACGTCTGTCTCTGCAGTGTCTTGTGGAAGTCCTTCCGGGAACCGGTCTTCCTGAGGCCGCACGGCTCCCAGCCCCCTTGGCTCCTTTCAGGGTGGGTATGGTTCCGTTTGTGAAGGGGGCAGGAGAGAGGGTGGGGGGAAGAAGACCATCAGACCTCGTAGCAAAGTCCCTGGCTTATGTCTGCACACAGGCCTGCAAAGGCTTCCTGAGGGAGGGCCCACTGTCAGGCATCACATCTGAGTGCCCACCAGGTTGGCCAACCTCTTGGCTGGCATGTCCTTGGAGGCAGGACCGTCCTGGGAAGATGTCCCCCTGGAGGGGCGGGCACTCAGATGTGGGCCATTCGACTCTAAGCTAAAGCCAGGCCCAGAGCCTCGGGGAAAAGGGCAGGCTACATCTCGGTGTGTCCAGGGGCGGCAAATGGAGACGGCTTGGAGCTCCGAGACAGCACGTTTCGTCGGCACAGCAAAGACGGTTAACGTGGAATTTTAACAGGAACAGGGTGGTGGCTTATCAGGGAGAACCCCAAATCCGTTTGCAGAGTCCCCACGGAGATGAAGCCTGTGTGGAATTCCTCCGGCCCCTTGGCCAGGGATGTGAACAGTCCTGCCCTCAGACAGAGGGCATCGGAGCGGGTGGGTGCAGACAGGAAGCCAAATCCAATCCCTGCCGGTGGGGCGATTCTGACGCATAGACCCTAGGGGGTCCTCAGTGCCATTGAGTCCGGTCCGACTCACAGGGACCTTGTGCACAACAGTGGGACACTGCTCCGCCCTGGGCCATCCTCACACTTCTTCTTCTGCGTGAGCCCATGGATGCAGCCACTGGCCGTCCATCTTGTTGAAGGACTTCTTCTTCACTGCCCTCACACTGGGCCAAGCAGGAGGTCCTTCCCCAGAGACTGGTCTCTCCGGACAGCACGTCCAAATACGTGAGACAAAGTCTCCCCATCCTTGCCTCGAAGGAGCATTCTGGCCGTACTTCCTCGCACACAGGTCTGTGTGTCCACGGTGGAGGTCCATGGTGCTCTGAATGTGCTTCGTCAGCCAGCACAAGCGTCCTTCTTCAGTCTTCCGTACTCGATGTCCAATTCCACAGGCCCAGGAGCCGAGGGGAAAGACCACGGCTTGGGTCAGGCGCATCTCAGTCCTCAACGTGTCCTGTGCAGCAGATTCACCCAGCGCAGCGAGTCCTTAGCTCTCTGCATGACTGCTTCTGTGGGCACAGATGCTTTGTTCATTCTTCACAAGGTTTGCTGGTGACCTGGGCGGAGGACTACAGGGCAGATCGTCAACGGTCCATTCAACAACTCACCTGGCACCCGCCTTACATTAGTTTGTGTTGACTAGAGAAAAAAAATCCAGAGACATTCATGTGTATAAGAGAGATCTTCATAACAAGAAGCAATGACGTTTCAATAAAACATTCCAGCCCCGTCCAGATCAAGTCTGTGAGTTCAATAGTAGCCTCTAAGTTCAATATTTGCCCATGAATTCCTCTTGAGACTCGCACAGCGCATGCAGTGACGCTGAGTGCAGGAAGATCACAGGCCCGTGGGTGGAAAGTCTTGTGGATCCAGTGGCCACTCATCTACTCCATCCCTGTGCTCCCAGTTCCTTGTCCCCTCTCCTCGCCCTCCGGACCACGTCCTCGGGACAGGGCAGTGCTGTTTTGGTGTTTCACGGTGGAGTCTGCTGGGATGTGTGTTTCTCCCCACTGTCCCTGTTCCCCCGACAATGACACTGAGCCAGAAACGGAACCACAAGGAGGCGAGTTCAGTCCCAACCTGCTGGGTGACCACAGGCCTCTGTGATTCCACCCGCCTCCGTGGCTGTTTCCCGGCACTGTTTCTTTGGGATTTCTTTGCACTGGCCCCAAGCCATCGACCAGCAGGACACCATTACATGTTCACGTCCCAGCCTGTGCCTGCTAAGCCACATACAGAGTGTCTTGGTAGCACAGAGGCTGAAGCGCTTGACTGCTCATCCTAAGGCTGGAAGTCCAAGGCCACCTGGAGGCTCCTTGGAAGAAAGGCCTGGTGATCGATCTACTACCCAAAAATCAGCCGCTGAAAACCGTGTGGTGCAGAGTTCTGCTCTGACATGCATGACAGGGCCACCATTCTGTGAGTGGAGATTTGTTTGTTTTGTGTTTGAACCTCTACAGAGGCCGGGCTCGAATGGCTACTTGAACCTCTATAAAGGCCAGAACTTCTATAAAGGCTGGACTCAGACATCTGCTTGAACCGCTGTAGAGGCCGGACTCGGGACGTCCACCTGAACCTCTACCTTGGACGTCTGCCCTGGCAAGCACTCACACGGGGCCCTCCCTTGTCTGGTGAGTCTGATGCAGAGCGAAGTCCTGCCCCTTCCTCATTTCCTTTTATCACCTCTCTCCCCATTTTGAGTTCTCAGAAGAGGGCCAGGGCCCCCGAGGTGGGCCTGCCGGGGCAGAGCTGCCCGGGGGCAAGGCCAGGGCCTGGCCTTGGGGAGGGGATGGCTCCTTCTGCCAGTGGGTACAATTAGAGACCTGGACGAGGTGGACGTGGAGTGCCTGGGCTGGGCAGCCTGGTGCCTGCCCCAGAGATGCCCAAATTCCTGTTGCTTCTCTTCATGGATAGGGGGATGAAGGCCCCTCAGGAGGGAGACTTGCCCCCCACTGCCTTGCAGGAGAAGCACCCCAGTTTCCTTCAGGCCGATCCTTGCAGAGCCCACAGGCTGGACGGGCTGCAAGAACCCTGTTTGGAGGCAGTGGTGGGAGTGGGGGAGGCCAGGCTCTGAAGCCAGCTCCCACCTCCCGGCTGTGAGGCCTTGGGGAAGCCACTGAACCTCTCTGAGCCTCAGTTTCCTCAGGGTGAAAGGGGAAGATGGCTCTTGGGGGGCGAGGGTACAAGAGTGAATGGCCCTCTTCTCTGTGCTTGTCCCTGCCCCTCCCAGTACACTGTGGGTCTGGAGCCACCAGGTGCACCCCACCACGGCAGCCACGCTTCCCTGGGGGTGGGGGTGGGGTGAGGTGGCGCAGGAGACCCAGCATGAACAGGAGAAAGCCAGGTGGGCATCTGGGGGTGATCCTATCCACTCACAGGACTCACGGGCCCGTGCCTGTCAGGGCAACACTCACTCCGTGGGGCTCTCAGTGGCTGCATTGTGGATGAGATCGCCCGGCCTTTCTCCTGAGGCTCGTTAACAACCTGACCAGGGAGAGGGCGTCCACGTGGAAGGGCAGCCTGACTTGGCCACTCAGAACCAACCCAAAGGGCCCCAGGAGGCACCCAAGCCTGGCCGCACCGCTTCTTCCATGCTGCCAACATAGGGAGCATATAAGCTATTAAGACTCAAGGACCCCACATTGAACAGGCCCCGGTCCTAAAGGGTGTCATGGTCTTGGGACAAATGAGGGGGATGATGCTGAGAGAAGGGACTAGAAGCTACAGCAAAATCCAGTCAGATCCACTGTCGCTCCGAGTCAGAGCAGGCTCTGTGGCAGCCTCACCCCCACAGGAACAGCGGAAGCCAAGCTCACTGCCAATGCCGAGACCCCGTGAGCCCCGCGAGTTTCTGAGGCTGCAATTCTTTAAGGGCGGAGAATTCATTCATTCACTCACTGCCACGAAGTCAGTGTCTCTTCAGAGGGACCACCCCTGTGAGTTTTCAACAAGGGTAGAAAGCCCATCTATCTCCTGCGGAGCGGCTGGTGGTTTTGAACTGCTGCCCTTGCGGATCACAGCCCAACTTGTCACCACTGTGCCACCAGCTCCTTAGACAACAAGAGCTTCCAAAGCTCTTGCTATGTGGAGGAGAGCGTGTTTCTGACTGGCCAGGGCGGGGCAGGCTCTGAGAGAGAGAGAGAAAGCTTTGTCTTTTGTCCTCTGTGTTGGGTCTTGGTGGCTGCGGCTGCGGCTGAGACCACAGGGACCAAGGGCAGCCAGCTGATGACCCCGGCCTGTTTGCTCAGTGCAGCTGCAGGGCCGGGCTGGCCTGACTGGCTCTCGTCCTTTTAGAGAGCAATTCGCTAAGCACCCAGGCCAGACAGCGCCACAGCCGCTGGTCATAAGGAGCAATTATTGATCAGGGAGAGGTTTTTATGGTGCTTGGGGAGGGACTGAATTATATGCACGCACTGAGCTGTTGGGGTTTAATTGTTTACCGAGCTCACCGGGAGTGAAAGAGGCAGTCATAAAACACAGGCAGGCCCCGGTCCTGCCGCCCGGCTCTCCTTGGCCATGACCTTCCTGCAGAATCGTCGGAGGCACCCAGGGTGGGAGGCCAGGTCTCTGGGCATTCGCGACACAGCCTGTCACGTCCATGGGATGTTTCAGCAGCGTGGCTGACGTGACTCCGAGCACAGACAGAGCATTTAATGACTTAGGAGCTCAGGCCTCCCCTGGGACAGCAGGGACCCACGGGAGGATGCGGAATCCCTCGTGAGTTCGTTTTGAGAAAATGATGCCACAGAAGTTCTGCCTGTAGGAGGCAATGACACCCAAGGGTGCCACCCAACTCCAGTCCATATAAAATGAGCCAACTCCATGGAGACACAACTGCGCCCTTCTGCTGTCTGCTAGGCCAGGGGCCGTTCTCAAAAACCATGGGGGAGAGCGCACGCACGCCCGTGGTCACTATCTCGGGAGTGTGGGCAGTGAGCGCGGGGAGATGGAGGCAGAAAGGCCTGCCTCGCTCGATCCTCCTGGCCTGAGCGAGCTCGAGCACTTCAGGACGGGAAAGGCGTTTGTCCTCCAGGCAGACACCCAGCTGTGTGCTGTCTCTGAGCTGGGTCTCTCCCCACGAGGACATGCCAGATGTGCCCTGCCCTCCGCTGGCAGCACGTGGGTCCGATGTTAAGGCCCCCGTGGAGAGAGCTGAGTGGGAAACACCCTGTGGAATTCTGTGAGTGGGAGGGATGCCCGCGGTCTGTCCCCCAAGTGGGACCCAAGCCCAGGATCTCACAGAGCAGGGCATGCAAGCCTGTCCCTGGCTCCTGGAGGGACGGGTCAGCTCAGCACATTTTGATCCAAATACCATATGCAAAACCAAAATAAAAACAAGCAAAAAACCAAACTCACTGCCCCCAAGGGGATGCCGACTCTGAATGGCCCTACCAGACAGGGGAGCACTGCCCCTGGGGGTTTCTGAGACCCTACCTCTTGACGGAAGTAGAAGGCCCTGTCTTCTCCCGAGAAGTGGCTGGTGGTTTCGAACTGCTGACCTGGTGGTTAGCAGCCCAAAGTACAACCATTCTGCAGGGCTCCCCGTATCATCCACACAAAGTTATTGTTAATTACGTTGAGGAAGAAACCCCCTCTTTCCGTCACTGGCTCACTTCCTCCGAGTGGATTCTGTGACGGAAGTAGAAGGCCCTGTCTTCTCCCGAGAAGTGGCTGGTGGTTTCGAACTGCTGACCTGGTGATTAGCAGCCCAAAGTACAACCATTCTGCAGGGCTCCCCGTATCGTCCACACACAGTTATTGTTAATTACGTTGAGGAAGAAACCCCCTCTTTCCGTCACTGGCTCACTTCCTCCGAGTGGATTCTGAGTCGGCGGCGGAGCGCCCTGCAGAACCAGGTGGAACTGCCCTGCGGGTTTCAGGGGCTGCAGCTGCTCAGTGGGTCAGGAAGCCTCGTCTTTCCTCCGCCGGTGTTACGGCAGAAAGGAAGCGTCACCACTGGAAGGGACAAAGGCACAACGAGCATGTTGCAAAAGGGGACCGCAATCCGATCGCATTTTCTACACACATGTACAGAGAGAGTACAGGACCCCTGGGGGATGCTCATTGCAGGTCAGCAGTTCAAAACCACCAGCCGCTCTGCAGGGCAGAGACGGGGCTATCTACTCCTGCCACGAGTCACAGCCTCAGAGAGCCACAGTTCTATCCTGCCCCACGGGGTCACTGCGAGTCAGAATCAACCTGATGGCTGTTGAGTTTGGGTGTGTCGGGTTGGGTAGCTGTCTGTGCCTGCCTCCCCACAGCCTGCGTGTCCTACAGGGTTGCTGTGAATTTTGACATCGGCTCATGGCGGGAGCTTGAGTCTGACATACTGTAGACAGAGAAAGAGACCCAGGCCCCTGCCCGCGCACTGCACATTGAAAATGGTTACTGGTCTTTGTGAAACCGAGTGGATTTAGTATTCTTCTGTTCCGATCACTTCTAAAATACTGACAATGAGTAATCAGGGACGCAAGTTGGGGGACTCTTTCTGCCTTCCTCCCACCCTTTCTCTTGTGAAGAACAGATAAAAAGAAACTTCTGACGGCCCTGCCTCTCCATGGGGACAGGGAAGTCGAGAGACCCAAACGGAAAGTAAACCTGAAAACTGGGCCCAGCAAAACCGACCTTTCTAGTCATTGGGCCCCTGGGCCCCTGGTGGCGTTGGTGGTTAAGCGCTGGGCTGCTAACCGCAGTCTGAAACCACCAGGGGCTCTGCTGGGGAAAGACGAGGCTCACTCCTCCCGTCCAGCATCCTGGTCTCAGAAACCCACAGGGGCAGTTCTGCCCTGTCCTATGGGGTCGCTATGACTTGGGTCTGACTGGACGCCAGGGAGCGTTGCGGACCCTGAGATGGAGAACGTATCTCAGGTGACCATTAAGAGCTCGAAGCCAGCGTGTTCTGGGGCCTTTCTGTGCCCGGAAAGCTGACTCTGACGTGGGCGGCCAGCAGCTTTCCAGCCCCATCAAACAGACCTGGATCAGCATCATCTCACTCCGCTTCCCCGAACCACAAGCCACGCTGGCTCTTTCTTGGCTCCCGAGAGCCAGCTACATACCAGTGCTACTCAAACTACAGTGAGAAGTCAGGACAGGTTCAATGGCTCTCTTACAGGGGCCGGAAGCAGTCCAGTGGCCAGCGGCCTTCACAGGATTGTCACTGACCTGCAGAACAGCAGTGCTCGCTCTTGGGTAGGACAGGCCAGAGCAAGCTCACTGCTGTGTAGGCAATTCCAACTCACCGTGACCCTACAGGACAGGGGAGGGCTGCCCTGTGGGTTTCCAAGACTGTAGCTCTCTGTAGGAGTAAAAAGCCTCGTCTTTCTCCCTGGTGCAGCTGGTGGCTTTGAACCGCTGACCTTTTGATTTGTAGCCATGCATTTAGCTGCTGTCTCAGCAGGGCTTTTGCAACAAAGCAGACTTGCTGCCACCAAGCACACGCCGACGTATGGTGGCTCAACAGGACAAGGTCGAACTGCCCCTGGGGGTCCCTAGACTGTGACTGCTTATAGGGGCAGGAAGCCTTTTTTTTTTTCCTCCTGAAGGGTCGCGGGTGGTTTTGAACTGCTGACCTGAACTTTTGATTAGCAGCCTAATGTGTAACTTACCACGCCACCAGGGCAAGGAGACCCTTATTTCAGAGGGGTGCGCTGTGTTTTAAAAACGGCCCCCTGCCGGCTCTCTAGTGGGGCACGCCTGTCCTTCCAGACACTCCACCAGGGCCCCGGCACACATACAGGTACAGGCTGAGAATGTCAGTGTGTCCGCACTGCACTCGGGGAGGCCTGGCGAGGCAGCAGGGGTAGGCATTGGGCTGCTAGCCACAGGCTGGTGGTTCAAACCCACCAGCCGCTCTTCCAGAAAAAGATGAGGCTGTGGGTTCCCATCAAGACTCACAGCCTTGGAAACCCGGGAGAGCGGTCCTAGAGTCAGCATCCACCCGGTGGCGGTGGGCTGGGTGTTTCTTCTGAAGAAATGTAGGATCGGTGGGCAGTGTGGAGGGTCAAGACAGCTGAGAACGTTCTCGAGCATTCCGTCACTCCAGGAGAGAGAGCCGTTCTGGCTGGAGGAGTGGCAGGTAATTTATCCCTCGGTCGCAAAAAGGTCCATGTGGTGTTTGAGCGGAAGGCCGAGGGAGAACGAAAGCAAATTGAAAATGCTCGCTCTCTCACTCACGCTCTCTCTCATGTTAAAAGGCGACTTACTTCCGGGTCACAATCAGCCAGTCTCGCACGTAGGTCTGCACGCAGTCTCTGACGTGAGCGTCCAGTTCAACACTAAGGAGCCAGAAGAGGGGAGAGATGTGTGTTATTACTGTGCAGAAAGAGCCCGGACAGACCCCGAAACCAACGAGTCAATTCCAAGTCATGGTGACCCCTATATGAAGTTTGGGGTGGGGGTCTTCTCCTGGGACCGTGTCTCCTGCCAACCCGTCCAAACCACTCTGTGAGCCAGGGCAGAGAGGACGGGACCCACACGGTTTCCAGTGGTGGAATGGTTAGAAGTTGACCCTGAGCATGTCCCCAAGACATCCTTGGGGGGCCCCAAACCCCAATGTTTTAGCAAGCAGCCGAGGGCACCAGCCATTCGCAAATCAGGGGGTTGGGAACGCACAAGCCACCCTCTGACAGCCAAGAGCAGCAACCAGACTCCAACCCTGGAGGAAACGGGGCTGTGACTGTGGGAGGGTGTCCGTGTGCAAACACTCTGAGGGTCTGACACCTTCGGGGCAACAAGAAACTCCCTTGGATGAGACAGACACATTGGCATCTGATATTTTGTGGGCTTTTTATTCTAGACTCCTCTTAAACTGCCTGCCCGGGGGCGTTTGGACACAGACAGGTAGAACTCGTTGTAATCAAGTATGAGACAAAGAAAATCGGTTTGCACACACATTTCTCACCGGGGTAATTTGGACCCAGTCATTGCTCCTGGGGAGCCTTGTCAGGGCGTGCAGGCTCTGCTCTGTGGAAGTCACAAAGGAGGGCCGTCTTACACTTGTGGGGAGGGCGGGGGCAGGCGGGGAGCTTTGGTGTTGTGTTGCAACGCTGCTAAGGGGCGGC